AGCAGCACCTCCACCAGATGTCACGGGGTCGTGACGTGGCCGAAGACAGGAGACTTCGTGTTGGGATTTAACTGTTTATTTGGGCGAACCTGTGCCCGGTAAATGGAAAGTCCAATTACAGCAGCAGTCTCGCACAGATAGCAGTCTCGGACTGATAGCGGCGAACGGAGCGTCGGCCTTCGATCAACAACTGACAAGCGGCGAAGCGCGTCGGCATTTACACTCTTGCCGTCGAATGTTCTAGCGTTATCGCTGGCGGCGGCGTAGGTTCCAGAACGATCTGTACCGTTCGCACAGTGGGCGTGATCTTATCGAAATGATCTATTACAGTCCGGAACCTTTTGGAAAACTGCAGGCGCGGTTCGCGCTGAGAATCGTGTGGTGTTTTGGGACGATAACAAAAAATTGCCCGCAGATTCCCTCGGGGGAACACTGAGGAGGATGCGGAGCATATAATTGGTTAACGGGGTGTTAAAGTGCGACTTACTTGGGTCGATGACTAAATTGGTTAACGTGGTTGTGAAATGGGGTGTTAAATTGCGACTTACTTGGGTCGATGGCTAAATTGGTTAACGTGGTTGTAGGAGGAGGTGTTAAATGAGTGAACACGTACACACGTATGCGAAAGGGCGGCGCTCGTCGAAGGGACGTCGATCATTGTGTTTGTGGATTCGTTGGAATTCATTTCACCGCGACCTTGGACGTCGACGCGCCGTACAAACCAACCGACGAGCGGCAACTGAGCGAGCGAGCGCCGACCTTGAGTATATATACAGCGCGACGGCGCATGCACTGTCAGCTGTCGAATGTTCGAGAAGGGGGAGAAGCGCAACGGCGCATGCGCGCGCGTCAGCTGCCGATGTTCTCGAAGCGCGACGGCGCATGCGCGCGCGTCAGCTGCCAATGTTGTCGAAGCGTGACGGCTCATGCGCGCTACATTATACAGCTAGCGAATGTTCGTGAAGAGGAGAAGCGCACGCGGTGTGTAGAGGAGGAAGGGTGCACAGATGGTGGAGGAGTGAAGCGCGCGCGGTGTGTAGAGGAGGAAGGGATGCACAGATGGTGGAAGAAGGAGGAGGAAGCTTGCGGACGGCGCCGCACTACAAGCCTCGAGTATTAGATGCTCCGCATCTAAAACTTGGGAAATGGAACGTGGCAATATGATAATCTCACGTTAGAAAGCTGCTATTCCCTTCACTCGGGGTAGCAGAACACCAAGACTGTCTTAAACAGAAAGACGATGAAATATACTAAATTATCGTTTTTACAGCCTTTTTATCACGAATAGCGGGTCCACTCTGTTATGTTTTTAGCAGGCCACGTACTCCGGCATTTTCAGAGCCTTATGAAAAAATCCCCAGATTCACCAAGAACTCCAAATCCATAAAAGGGCAGAAAATCCCTAGATCACGGGATAAATTTCTTGGGTTAGCAACACTGCTGTTTACCAACGAGCGTGCGCGAGATGTCCCGGAAGGCCCGAGCGCAACGCCACAGTCGACATCCGGGTGAGAGGACTCAGCGTCACTCCCGTTCTCCCAGCAGTGACAGATCCCAGAGAAGGGGAGATTCCTGTTAGGTAAAGCCCCATGACAACGGCAGAAAAGGCGAAAAAGCCCTCGCAATAGTGACGGGCAGTGCGAGCAGTGTAACGGCGCTCCGTCTATTTGACACCGTTGCATATTTCGCGACACAACGGATCACTTTGCGGAGCCTTCAGTAGCTTTTGTTTCCAGAAAGCGATTGCCATTCTCCCAAGGGATGGGGGGGAGGGGGGATATGGTATCGCGTCAACCCAGGACCGCAGCAACAGCCGCTTGAATTGGTGTCACGGGTTGGCTCTTGGCATCGTGGTCTTCGGATGCGCCGCTTACCTAAATAGCAGCCAGAAGGTTCGTCCGCATGCGAATTCGCCCTTTCGGCTTTCGCCGAACGGCAGCCGAGCCGCTGTTTCGCCCCCGACCCTTGCTTGGGCAAAGGCACCGCTAGCGGCGGTCGCACCGGGATCAATGTTTTCGGCAGACAATGGGGCACTACATAGCGCGTCAGCTACCACGTTGGTGCTCCCCTTTCTACTGCACTGCAAAGTCACAACTGCACTGCAAAGTCATAATAATGTATCAGGAGAGCCCAGCATTATCGTGATACCAGCGTGATCACCCGCAGCATCACGAAGTGGCATCGGCCAGCTGAGAACGCTGTGATATCCGCTTGCACCTTGAACGTCATCCCACTAAGGTAGACGTCAAACTTCCGCAGTGCGAATACGATGGCGAGGCACTCCTTTTCGGTCATGGAATAATTTTTCTCCGCAGGGAGCAAGAAGCAGCTGGCAAAGGCCAACGTCTGCAACACGCCATAGTATTCCTGTAAGAGAACAGTCCCTAAACCCAGATCACTCGTATCAGTCTGTACAATGAACGGTCTGGTCAGGTCGGGGAGCTTGATCTGCATTGCCTCCACAGTGGCGTTAGAAAGTTTGCAAAACGATTCCTGCTGCTCTGGTACCGATTGACCCTCAGCAGACTAACTCTAGAGCTTGCTCAAGGGCGCCTGCAGGCGTGCAGAAGATGGAATGGAAGAACGGTAACAGTTAATCATTCCCAAAAAGCGGCGAAAGTCATATCTTTCCTTGGCCGCGAGGAAATTTAGGATTGCTTGAAGTTTCTCCTGATCTGGCTCAATGAAGCCCAGCGTAAACCCGAGTCTGAATACGTGTATGCGCTAATTGGACATTGCTGGGATTTCGCCCCACAGTGGTCTTTACCCTCTCGAGCACATGGGCAACATGGGCCAAGTGTTCTTCGAAGGTTCGTGAATAAATAACAATGTTGTCTAAAGAGCACGTGAAGTATGACCACTTAACTTCCCCGAGGACGCGATACATAAGTCTTCGAAACGTCGCAGGAGCATTGCAAAGACCAAAGGGCATCCGAGTGAACACAAACAACCCTCTGTTGGACGTGAACGCACTTTTACACTGGTCACGCTCACCCATCCGGACCTTTAGGTAACCTTCAGAGGCGCGAAGCGTAGTAAAGTAGCGTGCATCACCCAGGGTTCCTACGAAGAGTTTATCGTGAGAAGCGGATGGGCATCCATACGAGTCAGTTCATTCAGACTGCAATAGTCAACGCGCAGGCGATGACTGCCATTTTTCTTGGGGACCAACACACTTGGAAACCCTCAGGAACTGGATGAGCGGAGTATAATGCCTGGTGATAGCATGTCGTCTAGCAATCCGTCAATAATCTGCCTTTTGGTGAAACTGACGGGCCTGGGGTGACACTTCAAACGAAGCGCGTCACCAGTTTCGATCACGTGGCTCACAAAAACAGTACAGCCCGGTTGATCGGTGAAGAGCTCGTCGTACTTACGTAACAGTATCGACAGACGAGCCTTCTGTATATCATCCAACTGAGTCGTGCAGGCGACCAAAGAATGTGGTGCCTCTTCGTGTCGTTTTGGTTGATCCAAACAGGGGTTTTGAGCCAATGAGCGCGTACTACCAGGGTATGAGTCAGAAGTTTGCGCGCGACCTGGTCGACATCCGGGTGAGAAGTGTCAACGTCACTCCCGCTCCCCCAGCAGCGACGTACCGCGGAGAAGGGTAGAGTTATGTTAGAACACGAGAACTGCAGAAATAGGCGGAAAAGCCCGCGCAATGAAGGCAGGGTAGCCTCAATTCCCACAAAACCTAGGGCGACTACTTACGGAAGAACCTAATCACAAAGAAATTCACCGAATAATAGGAATGGGTTGGAACACGCATTCGGAAGGCACGCCCAAATAATGTCCGGAATTGCCGCAATCACTAAAGAGAAAGGTATAGTACCAATGCTTACGCCTGTTTTGACGTATGGGGCTGAAACATGGAGATTAACAAGCAAATAGAGCTAAAACTGGGGACTACGCAGCATACACTAGAACGTAGAATGATAGGAATGACATTGAAAGACCACAGTACGGCAGCATGGGTAAGATAACGGACATGAGTTGCAGATATATTAGCTGACATTAAAGGAAAAAAATGAACCTTGGCAGGTTACGTCATGCGTTGAACAGACGATTGGGGAAACTAAGAGCAATTGCATATGTATAGGAATTGTAGTCGAGGAATAAAAGAGAGGGTTAAATATGGAGTGGCAAAATTAGGAAGTTCACAAGGATAAAATGGAATCTGGTCGCACAGAATGTAGAGCAAACTGGAGATCACTGGGACAGGCCTCCATCCTGCAGCGGACTAACACAGGCCAAGAATGATAATGACGATGATGATTTCTATTGTTTGAATGTTATAGCACATTAAATCCCGCTGATACTCCTCATTGAAGTTGAATTACAATGTTCCTGCGCCATCTCGCCACCACAATTTCTTTAGCGGCGATACAGTTTAGGTAGGAACAACACGTAATCAAGTTAGGCTGGGGATCTAGCCTAACTTGGTTCCATGGTCGGTGACATGGCCGGTGTTCATAGCCGCGGACAACGTCACTGGCCGCGCCCATTCGCAAGACTCTCTCCATATACGGCTCTGGTTGGGGTTAAACTTTATGAAGCCGGCTTCATGGGCAGCCTGCGTGCGACATATGAAGTAAATTAATCCCGCTTGATGCAAGAATTGAATACGTTCTTTCGATTATTGCTCAATCTAGTTCTATCAAAAGAATGTGCAACAAATTTTTCCCCGATAGTACCGACCTTCTTCATATCACGCTATAAATGCATCTTGAAGATCAGCTAGCGGAAACTTCAAGAACTGATATTATTGCAAATGGCGCATCAAAATGCGAGAAATAATTATGACTTCGAAGAAGCGGAGGAAACAGTGTAACAAAGGCACATACCGCAAAGACGATAGATACGGCATCTGTACTATTTCTTGTAGTACTCTTTGTTTCGTTTGGTTATGCACCAACTAGTAGAGTCTAGTTACAGCCTGCCAACGTTAAAATCTTTTGGATGTTTATGCTAACATTTTTCTTTCGATGAAATGGCAGATAATCGACACAGAAAGCAACAAGGTACTAGGACCTATGCAGTGTGGAGAGGTGCTCTTCGATACACCATGCGCTGCAATCAGATACTGCGGACATGATGAAGCTGAGGCTACCATCACGGATGAGCAAGGATGGATACATACGGGTAAATGACAGCGAGACGTGCATTTTACGAAATGGCTTGTGTAACCTGTGTCCTTACAGACCGTGGTTCTCCGCTTACCATTATGAATTTTTTGTTTGTCTTTCTTTTCTGTTCGTTTTGCTGATAAATAGACGAATTCAGTGAAGTGGCAAACTGAGGCGCCGTAGAAATGTTTTTACAGCTTTCACTGCTACTTTTTCTGGTAACTGTGACGTCCACCGAGGAGACGAGTATTCTGAGTAAGCGAGCCTGGGTGTCACGTGCGTACCGGCAAGTTCACGACAGCGTGTGTACATCTACGTATTCTTCCAGCTCTTACGTTAGGATACCATGACATCTCGTCCGTGATCGACAGCGAAGTTGCTGGCGGTGATTGGAGCATTTTAAACTTCATGAACGCCTATGACGCTGCAGGCAAAAGAAAGCGCATACGGGAACAATACGTTTCTCGTCTGACGTATTTTGGGAGTGGGTTTGGGGGTAAAAGCCTTTTTTATCAGCCTTGCAACAGAGGCACCTCTCGAAGCGGCGAAGTGAAGTTGTGATTAGCTGTAATACCTCCCATATGAGACTGAGAAAGGCATAGTTGTGTATTTATGCATCAGTGTATATAAATGACGAAAGGTTAGTTGTTGCGCAGATTCGGTGTCTGCTAATAAAGTGATGTATCCTTACTTACTCACTTCCACTCTTTTATGGCACTCAGTAAATACCTGTACGTGGATTTGAGTGATAGACGATAGCAGTTAGGCTGCCTTATTAATCCATCTCTAAATTTCAAAAATAAAACTATTTCATTTCGACAATCAATTCTTTAGTCGATGAAGTGACTTTCTTCGCCGATGAAACGCCATCACTTTTCATTAGGCTATGAATAGTGATGGCAGCGAGGTGCCAGAGCGAGCAAAAGAGAACGTAGTAAAGGTTAAATAAAAATCTCTCATAGAATATTATCTCATACCATAGATGCGGTTGTCTTCTTTCCATTTTTCAATACCATAGACATTGTTAATACCAATTTGACGAAATCGCGGAATATTCAATGTTTACGTTTTCTTAAATACGCTCCATAAGAAGGCATTTAAAGTGAACGTGTGTCCTTCGTTCAGTTAGAGGAGCATGAGAATGTTTGGAGGCACTGAGATTAGTTGTTTGTGCTGTTGATCGTAGTGAGAAGCACACCCAACGAGACTTGCCTAATCTAGAGCTGTGGTCAGCCTCGGTGCTGAACTCGGAATCTACACAAAACTCTACCGGAGGACGCGGAAAGAAAGGTGTACTCTCTATTTTTCTGTTTCTTCTCGACCATGAAGATAAATGAATAGTGCGCGCAGCTGAGATTTAGGAGAGTGTCACATGTCACGCGATTTCCATATAGTCCAACGCGCAGTTATTTCATGAAGGTCTCAGTGAAGTAACTATTTTGCCACGTAACCCAGCGAAATAGGGATCAAACTGACGATGCGACCGAATGGCCGTCATTATAATTATATCACGTCTCATCGCAGGTGACCTCGGTTATTACGACCACGACGGTAGACTGTTTTTGTGCGGTCGTCTGAAGACAATGATGGTGTGCCAGAGAAGGAAGGTGTCCCCAGTTAATATAGAACACTGCCTAATAGAACATCCAGCCGTGGAAGAGGCAGCCGTGGTAGGCGTATCCGCTCCGGATGGTGACCAGTTCCCGGCCGCCGTGGTCGTTGCGAAGCGCGGACATAACCGAGACCAGCAACTCGCCGATGAATTGAAGCGTCACGTGGCTGGTAAGAATCTATAAGCTACACAAATGTTCCCTGCGTACGCATACGGCGGTTAGTTGTGTCGCTGATATACATTAACATCTTCTAAGGGCACCTCAAAACAAATGACTCAAGGTTGACCTTCCGCAATACATACCTACTGCTCTTTGTGTTCTCCCATCTGTGTTGCGACTTCTCTGCGCAAATCTAATCTTGGCATCATGTGTATTTATATTCACAGAACGAAACAACTCCTCCATGCATCTGCATGGTGGAGTCTACTTCATCGATGCACTGCCGAAGAACACCCTGGGAAAAGCAAGGTCAGCCTTAATACTTGAGCTAGTCGGAATGCTGCGCAGAATGGACAGCGCTGATGAAACCGTCTGCGGCGATTTGATCTACTAGACAAGCTTTGGTTTTGGAAGCAACTGCAGGACATTTCCCCTGCCACGTCGCGCCCTCCTGGATTTTTGTATATTGTAAGGCGACGTTTAGACCACAAGCCACTTCATTTTATTCGCCGAGACTGAGCCGCACAACCCACGTCAGCGTGGTGATGATGAGTATGTACAAATGAGTAGATGGAATACATAAATAGTGTTCACACTACTTTTCCCCCTCTGTGCACGAGCGGCTGGCTTGGCAGCGCCTTAAACGAAAACGGGATGTCGAACAAATGACTTCATACGCAAAACGTGAACAATCTCCGAACCACTGCAGCGGCGGTCCTACGAACGCTTGGTGGGAGTGACGCGATGATTAACTGGAGATGTTCGTTCACAGGCTATATAGGGGCCAATAAACCATCACTAATTTTTTTCGCATTCCTGGAGTACGAGTGGGCGTCCAAAACAACACTTCATCCCTAGAACTGAAAAAAAAAACATCGCGAATAGAGCTTTCGTAGCATTGTTTTTAATCTTGTTGACTAGCTTCTGAGTTTAGGCGAGCACGTTGCCGGCATTGGTCAAGTCTGGAGATGAACTGCTCGAATAGGGTTGCCGAAGCGTCAGCGGCAATATTCAGGAAACAGACGTTGCTGATGAACGACGGTGGACATCCGTAAACGAGATAGAAAGGAAATTAGCCAGTAGTTCGTTGTACAGCGGTGTTGTGGGCAAACGTTACAAAAGGCAAAATTGTATCTTAGTTGTTGTAGTGGGATCCGATATACATTGATAACATGTCTGTTAATGTGTGATAAGATCTCTCGTTCAACTCATTTGCTTGAGGGTGAAGGCTGACGCCGTCTTGTGCACTGTGCCAGATGTCCTCAGTAAGTCTTCAATGACAGAGGAGAGGAAACTTTTCCTGTGATCACTCAACAGGACACGATGTGCACCATGACTTAATACAATGGCTTTGAGAAAGAAATCGGTGACGTCTGAATCAGAACTTGTAGGTCAGAGGAGCTGTCTCTGCATATCGTGTCAGGTGATCGACGGCTGTCATGTTGACCTGCTGGCATGATGGTGAGAGGTCCGACTAGGTCTATCCCAATGGTGGCGAACGGTGCATCCGGACACAGAATCTGTTGCACTGGGCCAGCTGGACATGAAGTTGGTCGCTTCCGTCGTTTACACACAGGACAAGATGCAACGTACTTCACCACAAAAGTAGAGAGGCCAGACCAGAAGAAACATTGCTAGGCATGGCTGTGAGTTCTGTTGAATCCTAAGTGACCTGCAAATGGGACGTCGTGAAAAACTTCGAGTACTTGTTAACGTAAAGAACGGGGAATAACTAGAACCCACTGGTGTACATCAGTATTGTAGACGTAAATGGTGTAGCAAATCGTTGTCAATCTTCAACTGTCGTAGTTGTCGTCGTGATCTGGCATTGAGAGTGGTTGATCTGACACTTAGGTGTTCGATAATGCACTTTCAGTATGGATAATCACGCTGGCTGGAGGCGAACTGGGGTACTGATTTGAAACCTGCGTGTCAGCAGCAGGCAGTTGGGATAATGTATGGGATCATGCATCGTCGGGTTCCTGGGGTGAGCATGGACGAAATGGTCTCGACAGCGATAGTGGCTGAGGGCAGCGAGAAAAAGTGTCCGCATCTTGGTGGTTTTTGCGAGCTTTGGAAGCGATGTAGAAATTGTACTCTTGCAGGCGGAGCACTCAACACCCAGTTGACCAGGCAAGCTTTTCAGTGAAGATAGCCAACTTAAGGCGTGATTATCTGTAATGACTGTGAAGTGGCGTTTGTAAAGAAATAGCCGAAATTTTATATGGCACAGACAATAGCAAGGCATCCCCGCTCAATGACGAAGTAGTTCTGCTCGGCGACCGTTCGAGCACGACTGGCCTAAGCAACAACGCTCTCTCTCTCGGTAAGTGGTGTCCCGCTGTAAAAGAACTGCTCCGATCCCCTGGCCGCTAGCATCGGTGTGTAAACAAGTAGGTGCGTTCTCGTCGAAATGAGATAGGACGGGGTCGTACGTTAGGGCACGCTTGAGAGCTTGAAAAGCACGCTCGCAGTCGTTGGTGCACGTGAAGGCAGATCTTGATGTGCGGAGCTTGTGTTTGGGGCGAGGCGACTTTAGCAAAATGGCTGATGAAGCGTGTGAAAGTAGGACGCCTGACCCAAAAAACTACATAGGTGTTTCTGAGTTACAGGGCGAGGGAAGCTCATCACGGCAGAAATCTTGTCAGAATCTGGACGAATGCCGTCTTTGCTGACAAGATGGCTTAACAACTTGATGTTTTGTTGTTTTTTTTGGCAAAATTACATTTCTTCGCGTTTAGCTTAAGTTCAACGTTGGAAAGGCACGACAAAGCATCGTACAGTTGCTCAAGATGTTGACAAAAATCAGTAAAAAGTATGACGATGTCATCTAGATAGCAGATACGCGTCTTACACTTGAGGCCTTAAAGAACTCTGTCCATCATGCGTTAAAACGTGGCAGGAGCATTACATAAGTCGAAAAGCATGACGATGAACTCATACAGCCTGCCTGGTGCTGCCAAAGTCGTTTCATTTATCTGCGCTTCATGCATAGGTATTTGCCAATACCCAGATCGGAGGTCCAGGCTGAAGAAAAATTGAGCGCCTTGCAAAGAGTCAACTGCGTCGTCTATGCGTGGCATCGGGTACACGTCTTTGCGCTTAGTCTTGTTAAGTGCTCGATGATCTACGCAGAATCGCACAGAACCGTCTTTCTTCCGAGCCAAAGCTACAGGTGATGGCCAAGAGCTGTACGATAGCCTGGTGACGTCTCGCTTGAGCATGCGGGCAACATTATCTTCGATGATTTCTCGCTCAGCTAAAGACAAACGATAGGGGCGGCGGTGCACCAGTGAATTACCTTCAGCTTCAATACGATGCACAGCGACGGTAGTGTGGCCCAAGACCTTCGAATGGACATCAAATGAAGCGGTGTGCTTTTCCAGTAGATATGGAAGCTCTTCTTTTTGCGCTGCCATGCGATCGGGATTGATGGTGGCCGTTAATGCTGTCATTGTAACACCGTCATCGGCACTGGTAGCTAAATGTATGGTAGTTGCGCGTAGAGAGGCACTAGAGAAAGGGGTTTGTTGTCGGTAAAGCAAGTCACAGCGGTGTCCTGCGGAAGCACAACAGGTGAAGCAGTAGGGTTAACAGCTGTGACAAATGCGCTACCTTCGTGAAACCGCACCAGGATAGGAGCAATGGTGAGCCGCCAGAGATATAAAGTCCATACAGAGCAAGAAGCGCATACCCATTAACGATGGTATATGACATCAGCACCAGAATATGCTCATAGCCTGGAGTAATGGAGCAATCAGCTGCCGTGACAAAGCGCAAGTTATGGGCATCGACATCAGAAGAAAGTGCAGTGTATGCCAAGTGAATAACTCTCTGACGACAAAATATTCCCACTGAAGCTGAGGAGAGAAAGTACCAATCCGAAATGAGTGTTAGTACAGAAGGACAGCACGAGAAACTGTATGTGATGTAGAATGCCCTGAATAAAAGCTGGCACTGTGCAAACGCCGGAGGGCTGAACGAAAAAAAATTGGGGGACCCATAAGCTTCAGTTTTAAAAGTTGAACGCGATGGTGAAATCCGGCCCCTAGTGCACCCTTGAACCGCTAAAGGCATACTTATTCATATGTTTTGTTACATACAAACGCACGCACACAAACACGCATGCGGTAGATTGGACCAGCGCACGCTATTATCGCTGAATGGGCTCGTTTTCATCGTGACACATGTCGAACAAAATGCGTTAAAAGGGCCCTGAAACACTTTTTCAAGTAATCATAGATTGAATTCACTAGAAGAGCTTATTGCCTCACGAATACAATGCCGCAAAAATTTTAGGAATCTGTTCATTGCAAGTGGAGTCACAAAGATTTGTCGCATGCTGCAATTGCATTACCCGCTGCATCAAAGGTCCGCGGACATGGTGAACGACGTGGATAAAATGGGTATGAGCGGCGATGCTGGAAAACAGGGGCAAGCTCATTCATTTCAAAATCATTGCAGCCGCACCTCTAGTCTTAATTGTTGACGCCGTCGGCAGAACCTCGAGATGTTGCCACGGATTCCACGGTAATAGCAAGACCGGTCGAGGTGTACGCCATGCGTCGGAAAACTTAAGGGGCGCCCTTGGGGAAGGAGCATTGAGAGAAGCGGGCACTGCTGGCCAAGGCTGCTGTGACTGCTTGGAAAGTGGTGCAAGAGCAGCAACCTGAGCATGGGTCGGCGTTGGTGCAAAAAGCGGGCTTGGGACTTGCGGGCACACGCCATAGATACCATCTCTTCTCTCACAATGGTGCGGAAGCTACCACCAGAAGGTTTCGTGCGGAGCTCGAGAGAGCGTGACGCAGGTTGGAGTTCCTCACGAGTAATAGAACGGATCAACGTACGCAGCTCGCTGTCGTTCGTTACCCTGGGGGCAGGTACGTGCGGTTGCAAGCAGATAAAATGGAGATTATCAAGGCGCTGACAAGTACTGATGATATCCACGACCGTGGTAGGATTCTGTGCTGGCAAAGCGTTGAATGCCACAGAATTGAAGCCTTTGAGCAGATGTCGAATGCAATCATTCTCCGCCATCAAGCTGTAGAAGCGGCGGCAAAGACCGAAGCCGTCTTCTATGTATGGCGTATATGACTCGTCTGGGCGCTGGACCAGCTAAGCAAGCTTCCGTTCGGAAATGTCTGAGCGGACAAAAGGGTTTGCAAATATCTGACGGAGGAGCTGCTTAAAAGGGTACTGACACAAAAACTTTGGCCTCGCGTTTTCCTGCTACAATGCGTGGCTGAGGGCCTGTTAGTCATGATACAACACATCGTTTGCTGCAACACGCAACAGATAATTCATTACAAGCTCCTCAATACCAATCCGTTTCGATTTCGGTTGAAACTGATTGATAATCAGGAACCACACAGAACTTTGATGCACTTCCGCACAGTCCGCATCAAGAATTATTTTGGAATAGGAAGCGGGACTGGAATGCCGCCAAACAAAAAACTTTTTAAGCGTGCGCACGGCCATGCACTGGCAACCAGCTGTCGGGAACTAACGCGGCAAAAGAAGAATGGTGGCTATGACGTTGTCATAACTTGTTTTGTTTACCGCTGCGTGGTGACGTGTAGGAAGTAGGGGGTCCTCTCGGGGTCCCCTCCGAGCGCTATGGAGCCGGTCGTTCACGAAAACTTCAAAACTAATTTAAAATCCCTTCCAAGCTATATTCGCTGTAGGTATTTTGCAGATGATATACGAATGTTCCCGACAATCGACTCAGCAGGCTATCTCGGTACCGCCACTTTAATGGTGACCCAATCCGTGAAATTCAGCTCATGGTTTAAAAACCAAGTCTTGGCTACCCCAAATAGATAAAATTGGATGAGGGAGAGCTTCGCAGGCTCGTCCCAGTGGTTGAACAACCTTCCGTGGTCGTACTGCTCCCACCATTTCTCGACATCTTTACCGCGAAGGCCAGCGAATACCGGTGGATCATTTTGAGGGGTGGTGGCCGTATAATAAGACCCCCTCCCCACCGGCCTCAGGCTGGGCAGATGGAGCCGGAGTGCTGTGCTAGTCGCGTGACATGACCGAAGGCTGGTTTTAAAGACGGAGATCTGAACGTAGCTCCAGGGGTGCTTTGTAGCAATAGCTCATGAAAACTCGCAGCACGGAGAGGACTAGAGGACCGGAAAACACTCTCCACCACTTGTAAGGCAACGTTTATGCCGCAAGACACTTCTTTTTATTCGCGGAGACTAAGCATCACAACCCGCACCAGCATGGTGATGATGACTATGTATAATGAATATTTATTTATTTATTTATTTATTTATTTATTTATTTATTTATTTATTTATTTCATTTTCACATACTACAGCCTGGTTAAAGGGCTATCGCAGGAGTGGGTACACAACAGTAAATAATATGAGAAAAAAAGAAGAGAATAAGTGAAATAAAACACAAACAATGACAGGTGAAATGCGAAAAATACCATAAATATATTTATATAAACCTTGCAAAGCTAGAAGTAAGTATTTGTGTATATTATCTTTTAGTGCCTTCGGAAATTCATCTTTTCTAATAAACGAATGCGACATGCTATGGTATGTCGCGTTCGCCCATAAACGTCCCAATTTACATATCGAAGCATCGGGGGATAAAAGTGAATTTTAAGAAGTCTGTGTGATGATGAAGCACAGATACGTTGAGTGCACGGCTGTTTCTAGTAAATGTTGATTTGGCAGGCGTACTGTAGTTGTTGTGCGACGAGTACTGAGGCGAATCGAAAAAGAAGTGGAAACGTTTCAGGGACTTGATGTGGCGTCCTTTAGAAATTGAAGTCAAGCCAAGGTTCGTTAGTTGGGATGACGGTGAGAAATCGCACCCATAGCGTCTGCATTTCAAACAAATGACATTTTTTTGGACGGATTCAAAGCGTTTTATATTGCTAATTTGGAGACACCTTATCCCCACTTGTTTTAAGCGTTACAATCACTTCTTCAGCCGGACAATACCCTAATCGCGAGATACGACCTGCGGCAAGTGGTCTTGTGCAACTTGATTTCTATTTTGAACTTCAATAATGTAAGCAGTGGATTGCTCTTAGCGAAGTTAATCATGCGTAATACTACAGCTTTATACTACGAAATAAAGGAAGAAATAAACTCTACTACTCTACAGAAAAGCGTTATCGCGTACAGTTCCGGAATATTGCTGCTTCGTTGATGGTGTCCTTGCGCAAGTCTCGATAGTGTGGTTTGTAAACATGTTCCTGTTCGACAACGAATAAAATCAGATTACCACTGACGTCTCTCCTGCCTACAGTGTTCTTCAACTTCATCACACCCAACTGTTAGCATAAGTATGCATCATCAACCTAAACTTTGCTACAACTCTTTTCATGTGATAAGGCTATTTATCATTTCTTCGCAGTTTCCTATCATTTAGGCGAGAGACCACATTATCTTTCCCCTTTCACAAGATACCAGCTGCAGAAACTTGAAATGACGCAGTCTAAGTGCGCCGGTGCTGTCGCAAGTGTACAGGCATTACCCCACTCTTTCACATCACACTCGCTTAGAAAACTACGGGAGAGACATATGACACAGCTTCTAACACCTCCCCATCACAAATGTTTACTTTTATTTAGCTTCAACCAACATGTGTCTAACGAAGTAATAAAAAATTTTAGCTCCCGAGGACATAAAACTCTGAGGTGAGAGATGAGAACTTGTGATTTAGTCAGTGGCAGTCAAATCCCATACTTATTTCATATGAGACTTAATGCCTCGTGCACGAGAAGTATAATCCGCAGCATTATGATATGACGCAGTGGATATATGGCAGCGTGTAAACGAAGCGAACTGCACACTAATTTAAAGATATGGTATTATAAGGAGATTTCAGAAATATCCGCAAAGCGAAAACTCTCATGCAGTAAAAAAAGTACTCTGTTGTTTTTTGTTTTGTTTTTTTCACGCGAGGAACTTGTCCTGCTGAGCTGAGACATCGAAAAGCGGAAATATGTGCTAGCACATGCGTGCAAGATTGCATGCCACCGCGCATGTGAAGCGTGTGATGAAGCCGACGCAATTACTGCTATGCGTCTCTCGGCAACCACCTACATGAAAGGCCATAAACAACAGCGCCAAATGTTGGTGCATAAGAAAAAAGTCACAGTTGCTCCAAAAGGGCAAAGCAATCAATGTGACATCAGCATATTCGAATGCTTTGCGAAGCAAGGCTACCCTTTTGAGGAGCAATATTAGTTGTAGTAAACAAACGCTTGCTAAGTAACCATGTTTCCTGCGGCGCGGGCACAGCAGATGACCACAAGGCTCGTTAATAGTGACGGCGTTGATATACGAAGTTAGGCAGGCAGTCAACTTATTTAGACCCCCTCTCACGTAACTCTACAAAACGCTAGTGTAAGAGAGTACGACCGCTTCATGCACACTTTCACCGTAGCTGTGGCATTGCACGTACGCGTCCGCTTCAGCTACGGGAGGTGCGGGGTTCAATCCCCAGTGCCGGCCGGCCACCCACCGGTAGCTAAACAGGGTACAGGCGGGCTTCGAGGGGCTGTGACGCGTCGCCACAGTGGTGAAGCTTACTCTGCCTGGAGGACTCTCAACCCGTTGCACGGGACCCGGTGCTTCCTTTGTTGGCAGCGTTTTCTCGTGTTGAGAGCACAGTCCGTAGAAGCTCCTACATGCTGTAGGGGCACAAGCCGCGCGCTGATCGTCACCGCAATACTACGACAATCATAAACGCCCCAACGTCGTCCCCCCGCCTTGTTCGCTCACGAAATAAGCGCGCGCGCAGACGACTCCGGTCGGAAAGGCGATGTTCGCTCCGCAGAAAGGGGAGGCTATAGCCCATCCTTCCTCGTATATATATACATACATATACATATACGTCAATGACGGCGGCTCTGGCAGTGGTGGCGATGACGACGACGGCACAAGCCAGCCGAAACTATCTATATAATTGCTATCGTAATAACAGCGTCCGTACTTCTAATTAAAGGTGCCCCTTTTGAGAAATACA